TCAGCCCGGACAACCGTTTCCTGGCGGCGGGGTGCGCCGAGAGCGCCGTGGACTTCTACGACCTTTCCTTGGGCTCCTCCCTCAACCGCATCGGCTACTGCAAGGACATCCCGGGCCGCGTCATCCAGATGGACTTCTCGGCCGACGGCAAGCACATCCAGGTCGGAGCCCGCCCCGCCGCCTGCCGTCTCTCTCTCTCGCACTGTTGGGCCGAGCGCAATCGCTTCCCACCCGCAGGTGTCCACCAGCACCTACGCCCGGCAGGTGCACGAGGTTCCTTCGGGCAAGATGGTCACCGAAGCGGCCCTGGTGGAGAGGATCACCTGGGCCACGTGGACCAGGTGAGGGCGGACGGGGGGGGGGGGGCATTTGGATTCCTGGCCCGCCCTCGCGACGGCCCGAAAAATGGCCTTTTGTCAAACGGAACCCAATCTCTTTGATTCGGAAGCAAAACAAGCGTCGGGTCGAAAGCGTCGCAATGTGGCGTCTTTCTTCGGACCGACGTCCTGTTGTCTTTGGGGCGTCCTAACCCAGCGGTCGGCAAACGGCGGCGAAAAATGCCTTTGTCTTCCCGCCTCCGGGTCAGGATGCGCGTAACTGCTCGTCCCCCCCCGACGCCATCTCCCGAACGTCCGTCGGGGAAAAAAAAGAAAAAGGCGGGCACGTTTTTGTGGCAAAACGTTGAACGCGGCAAACGTGCTCGCGCAGCATCCTGGGCGACGAGGTCCTGGGCATCTGGCCCCGCAACGCCGACAAGGCCGACGTCAACTGCGCCTGCGTGTCCCGCGCCGGCCTCAACTTGGTGACCGGCGACGACTCGGGCCTCGTCAAGCTCTTCGACTTCCCGTGCTCGGAGAAATTTGTACGGACCGCCGCCAAATCCGGACGGACCGCCGCCCCGCCCGCGGCTAAGCGCGTCGTCGCTTGTCTTTTTGCAGGCCAGACACAAGCGCTACTCGGGACACTCGGCTCACGTGACCAACGCCCGCTTCGCTTGCGACGACAAGTTTGTCGTCAGCGCCGGCGGCAGCGACCGCAGGTGACCGACGCCCATCCAAAAGTGGCTCCTTTTCTTTGGGCGCCGCTCGACGGACGCGGCCCCCATTTTGCGCGCTTCAAACTCGTCAGGGGCGCTTTGCGTCCCTTCGAAGGCAACGCGCAGAGTCGAGGCTTTGCGCGTTGGCCAACGCGGGGCCCGGGTGGGCCCAACTCACTTTCTTCCCCCCTCAGGTTTTGTTTGACGAGCTCGAGTTCCGGCGGGAAAGCCTCCAAATTGACCGACGGCTTCCGTCGCGGCGCCTCTCGAAAGCGAGTCACTTTTGACGTTGCTCCCCGAAAAGGCCAAGAAAAAAACGACGGGGCCGACGCTTTGACGCCGGCGTGTTTTCTCCTTGCAGCTTGTTTGTGTGGAAATGTCAGTAGGCGACGGCGGCGTCCTGCGGCGGCCCGTGCGAGGACGACGGGGTCACAAATGGAGAAGCACGCCGCCCGTCCGTCCCTTCGCCGGCCCTTTTGTCAATGTGTCGCCACCCCCCCCAGATGAAGTTTCTTTTTGTTTTGGAGCTCGGACGCTCGACAGAGGGAGATCCGAGCGACGAGAGCCTCGACTTTGAATGGAGGAACACGAGCGCGGAGACCGCGTCCACGCGCCGTCGGGGGGCGCCATTTGTGCCATCTTTGCCGGGCGTGTTTCTCCTCCCCGAAAGCTTTTTTTGCAAATTGGAAACGGACGGACGGCTTTCTGGCGCCATCGCTCCCTCCGTTTGCAACCAGAGAAGAAGAACGGATTCCCGACAGTACTTTGCTGGTGTCAAAACAAGTTGGCTGGAGTTGCTTTTCCGGCTCATTCAAATTGGGGCCATTGTGACCCATCAAGTCCGCTCATTTTCACACACACACACACACAGATTTGGAGCTCTCTGTCGCGCTACACCAACGCCACAGTCATATCTTTGTACATTGGGAATTGGGGGGGGGCGAGTAAACGAGCGAGCGCGCTCCGCACATTTAGCCAACGTCGCTTGTGGTCTTGATTTATTGGGTGCGGTCGATGCACGCCTGCTTCGGCAAAGTCGCTTTCATTCGCGAGGCGACGCCAGACGTCACTCGCCGTCATGATCTGGAATTTGGCGACATAGTCCGGCACAAGTGGAGCGTGCGTGCGTGCGTGATTTCGTCTTTGCGTTTGCTTCCATTCAATGTCGTAGGAGTGAACCAATTCCGAGCTGCGTTTTTCCTAAACGCTTTGAGCACGCTCACGAGCGTATTACGTCATAGGATGTGATTTGAAACAACGGACACCGAGGTCAGCCCGCCGGGATGACTGGAGGACAAGAAAATGCCTGGGAGGGGAAAAAAACAAAACAAATCCTCCAGGTCAAAATTGGAGCCGTTTTTTTTGGTTGATTTATTCATCCAACTATCGAGCTACTCGTCCATCGGATTGCCTGTCTGGATCCTGCACACCAAAAGTCATCGCGGCGATCTCATCCGCAAACTAGCCAGACTTGCAAAGCCGTTACCTGAGCAACAAGTGTGTGCTCGCGCATGTGTAGATCGATCGATCGATGGATGGATCGATGTATGTATGTCTCTGTGACGGGGTTCCCGCCGACTGTGGCAGTGTTGTTGCTTCAAGAACACTCGCCACTCGGGTGGATTGCGGCATTCGGTCTCCGACGTGACTGCGCTTTCAAGTCAACGCGTCAAAACGTAAATGAAGTCTCGCCGTTGAAAAAGCCACGCGGGCCGCGACGAGGGCGTTTCCAAAATTTGGACCGGTCGTCCGCTGTCCGTCCGCCAAAAGACCGCCGAGTTCTCACGGGGACCTTTGCGATACCGGGTCTCTTTTGACTGTGTTCCGGGAATCTCCGATTGGCGAAGCCATTTTCAAAAGCGCCGTTGATGTTTTGAGGTCTTTTCCCTTCAAATGCGTTGACAAAGACGGTCAAAAAGGTTTTTGACATCAACTCGCTTGAAGTCTCGTCATTTCTCAAGATAGCGATCGACTCGAACGTTGCCGGAACGCTTTTCATCCGTCCGTCTACAATTTGATTGCGCTTGGAAAAGAAGACGCCGACAGCGGGGAGAAGAAAGACTGAAACTCGCGTCACTTCAAGCCCAAACGAAGGGCACGAAGGCGGCCATTTGCTGACGCCGCGTCACCGGGATACACAAGTGCCATTGACCGAGGAGGCGTCCGTCGAAAACGGGTCGGCGAGCGTCGCCATGTTGGTTTGTTTCGCGCGCTTCGCTTCGGGAGCGCCGCGTCGATCTATCGGCGGAGGGATCTGCCGTCGCGCTCCCTCCGCCCGCGGCCGACCTCGCCGCAGACCGGGCCCCGCCCGCCACGTCGGTTAGTGCCTGGACCGACCGGCCCGCGCGTGTCAGCGGCGGACATTTTGTTTGTCTCGGGATCCCGGCGCCTCCCCCCTCCTCCCGCGCCGGTGGCGTCCCGAGGAGCGCGTCGGCGGCCGTCGAGCGAGCCTTTGGCGGCCTCCGGACGGGTTCGCCTTCTCGGCGGCGGCGGCGGCTGTCGAGCGCGGCGGCGCCGGCCGGGATGATGCCGGGCATGATGGACAAAGGCTCCGAGTATTTGGGCAAGGCTCGCTCCAACGGCACCAAGAGTCCGTCCAACGCTTCCAACGGACACTTGACGGACGAAAGCGCCAGTGACGACGAGCACGGTGGGCCGCCCGCAAACCCGCGGCCGGCCGGCCGGCTAGCGACTAGCCGGCCGGCTCGGACGTCCCCCCGCCTCCCACCGTGAGCTTTGCCTTTTTTTCTTCCCCGCAGATGTTGGCATGCGAGTCGGAGCGGACTATCAGGCCAACATTCCCGATTTCGAGGCCGGTGAGCGCGCTTTCCTTTCTTCCTCCACTTCCACTCCGGGTCGAGCGCGAGAAATGCCCGCAAACGGTCTCCGCGGCTGCTTTGCGCGGATCGCCGCCTTTTGGAGTTTTCGCCTCGGAGCGGGCGCGCGGCATCCTCCGCAACGCTCGCGGGCGTGTTTGTGCCTCGACGCGACGCGACGCGACTCTCTCGGAGAAGAGGCGAAACGAGCAACCGAGGGAAGGAAAACGTTCACTTCCCATTGTCCGTTGGCTTCCAAATGTCAGCCTCTGAAGCGTCGGTTTCAGGACGGCGCCGAACGCTGACGGCCCGATGCGAACCGAGGGCAAAATAGTTTTCCGCCAATTCAGATGAGCGTCCCTGTCGGCTCCAGTGGAAACGCTCGCTCGCTCGCTCTCTTGAAACGGCCGAGCGACGACGCGGAGGAAAGCCGGCCCGGCCTCCCGGCGTCCCCGCTTCCTGCTCAGAGGCCGGAAAAGTAAAAGAAGCGCTCTCGTCTGCTTTCTCCAAGTCCATCTGGTCCCCGAGCCGAGCCGCCGCCGCCGCCGCCGCGTGGCTTTTTCAAACGGATTCGGGCCCGCTCTCTTTCGAGTGGGCACGCGAGGCTTCAAAATGCAGCGAGCGCCGCTCTTCTCGAAAACATTTTGGACACCCAACAATCCGGCTGCTGTGACGCGTTCATCGGCGGGGTTGTTGTTGTTGCCGCCGCCTGTCTTCTCCTTCTCTTTTCAGACGGGCGCTCGTTTGCTCTCCGGCCAGACTCGAGTCAAAAGTTCAGCGGGCAGCCGAGAAAGTATTGCCGGCTGCTTTGGCAACAGCGCGTTCGCTCGCCCGTTCGTCTTCTGCCCCTCTTCCGGGTCATGACACGCATACCCCCCTCCCCCACCCCACCCCACCCCACAAAAAAAGGCCCGTGAGCCCGTTTGGGCAGAAAGGAACCGACAACAGTTTGAGGAACGGAAAGCTTTCGGTGAACGCGACGGGGCGGATCGCGCATCCCGCCCGCCGCCGGCTCCCAAATCGATTCCAAATAGTCGCCGAGCGATCGGCCCGTCGGCGAACGGTCCGAACGCCCGGTGAGGCGCGCCGGCCGGGCGAGGCCGGAGTAGCCGGCAAAGGTCCGCCGGCGCTTTTTGAGCCGCTGACGCCGCCGCCGCCGCGCGCTGCCCTTGCAGGCTCCGGCAAGTACTCGGAGCGGGACGACGGCGGGATGTTGGTGTGGTCGCCTTCCCGCGACATCGAAGACGGCAAGCGTGAGCGACGTCCGCCTCGGGCCCCGCCCGCCCGTCCCGGCGCGCGCCGTCGCTAACGGCTTCTTCCTCCGCAGTGGACGAGTACGTGGCGCTGGCCAAAGAGAAGCACGGCTACAACGTGGAGCAGGTCGGTGCGTCTCGCCGACGCCCTCTTCCGACGGCAACGCCGGTCACCGCGCGCGCGTGTGTGTGTGTGTGTGTGTGCGGGGGGCGGGGCCCGCGCAGGCGCTGGGGATGCTCTTCTGGCACAAACACGACATTGACAAGTCGTCGGCCGACCTCCCCAACTTTACGCCTTTTCCCGACGAGTGGACGGTGGAGGACAAAGTTCTCTTTGAGCAAGCGTTCAGCTTTCACGGCAAGAGTTTTCACCGCATCCAGCAGATGGTAAGCGCCGCCGCCGCCGCCACCGCCGCCGCCCGTTTGGGAGTCCATCGACGGCACGTTGCGACGTCAGCTTCCAGATAAATCCATCTCCAGCCTGGTCAAGTACTACTACTCGTGGAAGAAGACCCGCTCCAGAACCAGCCTGATGGACCGCCAAGCCCGGAAGTTGGCCAGCAGGAGCAACCGGGGCGACAGGTGACGCGCCGCGCTTTGCCCCCGACCGCGCTCCAAATGCGTCGGGGATCCCTCCGCCGCGGCGTATCCACGTCGCGTCGCGTGTCCAAAACGGTTTGCCCTGTCGCGGGGAAGCGCCTCCCCCCCCCGGGCACGCTGTCCGAGTCGCGCGACCTCCACGCCTCTCCCAGGCCGGCGCCCTCCATCGAGGCTGGCGTCAAGAGGAAGGCTCGCCGCCGAGAAAGCGAGCTCGGCAGACAGACGCCTCCGCACGCCTCCGTCCGTTTTGCGATCCGACGACAAATCCCCCGCGGTGGAGCGGGCGCGGGCTGCGGCGGCGACGGCGCTTTCGTCGGGCTAAGCGCCAAAGGAGCCGCCGCGCGAACGGATAGCGGCCGGCGTGGCGCCAACCTCTGGCTCGGAGTGAAAGCGCAAGCGCTTTTCCAAAGCAGGCGCGTCGCCCGCGAGTAAAACAAGGCAAAGGCCGCGGCGACGTCCGCGCGAGTACCAAGACGCCCGCCGACGGCGTCACCGAACGGCGTTTGGCCGATTGACAGCCGGCCGACTCGACGTTGTCATTGGCCGACGTTGGCGCGGCTCCGGCCAGCCCGCCCGC